TATGTACAGTGCAACACCTGCATATGCAGATTCGGTTCACTACAGTATTTGAAAAATAATCTATTCTTCAGTTTTAAACTCTGCAACTTTCCACCCTGTCGCAGAAATTATTATTTTATCTTATTAGCTATTGTTGATGATTTGTTGCATGTAATTAATAAATAAATATATTATATGTATGTATGTATGTGAAAAACTAGTTAGGCCTATATATTTTATTGGCGGCGGTTTAGCTGTCCGCGGTTGGTATTAGGGCGTTTCTCCTGCAGATGGGGGGGCACTACTGTACTGTATATAGATGGTAGTTTAAGTCCTTTAAAATAGTTTATTTAGTTCTTGCATTTAAAGTTACATCTAGAGAAGCTCCGGTCGATCGGCAACCAATTAAATCGGCTGATTTTCAGTCTTAATTACTACATCGACGGCCTTTAATTTGACCAAACTCAAATACCGATTTTGCTGATGACATAATTAGGGATGCACAGGTCCGTCAGTCACCAATCATTATCTGCAGATATTCATTCTAAATAGTTTGATCGAAGCTCTCATGAAGGCCAGTCAGAAAAGCCACCGCTCAAATTAGGCAGGTTTCCATCCAATAGATTTTATGCACAATAACTCCTTAACCCTAAAAAGTGGGTATTGGAAACATTGTTTAAGGCCTCGTCCACACGGACGTTCGAAACGAACGCCCTCTGATCGCCATACGCGTTTTTCCTGCGTTTTGTAGCTGCGTTCGATTGGCGTTTCACTGGCATTCGCTTGACGCTGTTTTACACCAGCCTGACGCCCAATCTGTAGTTTCGTGTATTTACCTGTGGGGGCAGTAATTACTCTTAAGGTTTCTAATGTATATTTCGAAATTTAAACAAGATGACGAAATCACATTGTAAAGTTCTAGTTTTACATTTAAAAATTACTTTCAAAACGTGCATAATTTGCGTCTTTCATTTTCAGTTTTTATGTGATTTTGTTTCGGGTTCAGTGTGTGTGTTTCAGTCGCCGTTTTCTGAGTATGTCGCACCGGTAATAAGTAGCCAAAGTTATGCTGTACTCTCGAATCCATCCGTAATTGTTGAGGCATTGGAGAGAAGCGGTGTTTATTAATTGCTTAAATTTGGGGGGGATCAGCTGCAGTGTGTAAACTAATTTTTAAGTTAGAGGTCCAAGATGCATTTATGTAAATTTTATTTACATCCACACATCCATCAATCTCCCCACTGCTTATCCTGATCGGGGTTGCAAGGCTTAATGATAATTACGACCGTAATTGCTGTAACACTATAAATATTTATATCGCATGGTTTTATGCTGAAATATTTCTACAGCTTTTGTAACTTCATATTAACTACAGTTGAACCCTATGAGCAGGGGCGCCGTAAGGGGGAGGAAAGCTAGGACGATTCCAAGGGCCCCTGAGTGACAGGGGCCCTAAAAAATTAGGAAAATAACTGGATTGGTTTGGACTGGGGGGCCTAATATGATATGCTTTCATGGGGCCCAAAATCTCTAGCAATGCCCCTGCCTATGAGTAAAGCCAGTTGAAAAGAGAAAGCAGATACGGTGCATCAGTTAAATGAGTTTTTCTTTATAGATGTCCAGATTTCCAGTTGCCTACTGAGCTTTTTAAATTGGTATTTTAAGCGAAAATATTAGCACCAGTTGATCCGTCGGTTGGGTTACTCGTAATATTGGTATTGTACCAGCAGCTGATTAATTCACTGCTGGTACAATACCGATATTACAAGTATCACGTTTTCCGTAAAATGTGGTTTCTCGCAGTTGTCGTACAGAATCATGGGACATATTCGGTCCTCCCGAACGCTAACCGAACGCCATGTAAACGCAACGCGTTCATCGGGATTTGACGCCAAGAAAACGTTGCATGCCGTTTATTTGACGCCACCTGAACGCGTAGCCGGCCGGTGCTGAACGCCCGTGTGGACGCTTTGATTTGATTTGTAGTCGGAATAATAATAACTAATTACATAATACCAATAATAATTATACGGTAATAATAAACGTAACTACATACGGTACTGTACTGTACCGAGAGCCGCCGAAGCGCTGAAGCCGCGATATGTGTTCACGAGAACCACAAAGCAGTGCATGCCTTCGGTATTAAGAAGCACTGCATTTCAGTTTTTAATATAATAGGCTTTATGGCAGTTTGTTCATATGTACGAGCTATCCGTAAGACGGACATTCTTAACCCAGGGACTGCCTGTATATCCTTTTTATCTGGACATGAAATTAACAGAAGTCAAATGAATACATTTTATCAATACATGTGCAGTTCTGGATGGAAACATGCCTGAAAGAGTTGGGTTTTTTTTGCAATAAGGAGAAACTTTTACAGATTTTCCTCGGGTATTATATCATTGCATATGCCGTTTTTATCGATAAAAGTCAGTTTTATGGAAAAACAATGATCACAAGAAATTTCGCTTTTGACGAACATTTGTTTTGTTGCTAAGACTATGTACATCAAGTGGGTGGAAACATAGTTATTCATACTGCTTATCGGTTCCTTATCCTTATTGTTTGGCAAGAAAAAAGGCATTTCATTATAAACAAATACAGCATTGCTTTATTAATGCATTACCACAACATAATTTCTTCTGCAACTGCTCAGTGACAAAAGTGTACTATTAAAAAAATAAACATTTCTGCCAGTTTGAAGGAACTTCACAGCCTCAGTCTGACAATCTACATAAAGTTAACATTTTAAAAATGTATTATAGGTTGGGCTGGGCGGTGTATTGATAAAATATCATGTTATGATTGTGAACATTCATACTGTCATCAATTTGAATATCATATCGCGATATAGCCCAAACACCTCTCTTTCTTGCGTAATCAACAGTTATAATTAATGCACTATTTTTACACAAATCCCACCAGGGTATGAGTCTCTTGTCATACCATGCTCCATAACTATTAGTAAAACATTTTGGTCATCATAATCAGAAAAACTCAAAACCACCTGTCATATTGTACTGTTTTCTACATATGAATTTTAGAATATTGTGATTATCGATATTGTGAAAATCTCTGAAAAAATTGTGATATCATTTTTAGGGAATATTTCCCAGCCCTAATTGTAGGCTACAGTATTAATCATAGCAAACAATTTACTTTCAGGTAATAAAAATTTAAGCCTAGTTGCAGAAATGTATACCTGCTGCCACTGGAGATCCACATCTGGGCCGTCACCAGGCCTGCTATGGCCCGTATCTGGATATCCACATCTGGGCCGTCACCAGGCCTGTTATGGCCCGTATCTGAAGAACCAGATACGAATTTTACTATGTGGGTAGCTGTTCAGAAATGCATCCCAGCGTAGTCCATCTCTGCACATCACTGCTGACTGGGACTCAACACCTTGCTGAGCAGCAAAATATGTCAGTCTGAAATAAACAGACGAAAGGGTGCAGAGAAGTATGTGCCTGATTACAAGATGTACTGGTTTATGTTGGGATTGGGGGATACGCACCTGTAGCTTAATACCTGAGAAATTGTATTTTGTGCTGTAGCATATGGGTTTGATTACTACTTGTAGGTTGTCACTTATTAAAATAGTACTGAGTTGAGATGTTGTAAGAGAATTTGTGGTGAGGATAGTATGCAGAAGAAGAACATAAACATGAAGCTCTTACCGTTATAAACACTAATATGCATTCACAATATGACTTTATACCAGCAGCTAGATCTGGCTGGAATACAATCTAGCTATTTTCTCATTTTTATGTTGATTATGACATGAAAAGAGGAGATTTAGGATACTTCACACTTCATTCTTTTCATTTTGCATGTCACTGGATGACATTGAACTGTAGATCCTTGATCTTGATATTTCTGATCAAGCTCTTGGGCAATTGATAAAGATTCCTCTTATGTTGCAGTTTATCCTGGTATGGTAAAGATTTGCCACTGGAGTTTGTATGCGTGATTAAGTTGGCTAAATTTGCAAACTTCGGGGTATTTTACTTTTACCTTAATTGTAAGAACTGTACTGACTTGTATGTTAGATGATGTGCTGGGATTAAGTTGGGAATGCCATTCATCTCCAGAGGGATTGTGAGGGTGAGAAGAACATGGATATTAGAGTTTCTCCTCTCTGCGCAGGGTGCTGGGGGTTAAGGGTCTTGCTCCAGGGCCCACAGACATGTGACTATCGTGCCGAGGTCGGGCTTAAACCAGCACCCTTCTGATCACAGGCATGGGGGTTTAACCCACTCCGCCACACGCTTACAGGACACACAGCCAGTGCTGTTTTCAGTGGGTGTTAGTCTTACACATACTGTATAACCAGTGACCCAACAAAAACAGTTTAAAGAGTTATTTAGCATGTATATTATTACAGTGTCACTGTCAATCAAGTATGACTAAAAGAGGTAGCAGTTTGGCAATACACTGTGCAGACTTATAATAAAAGTGCGACTCCTTTTAGTTATACTTGATTGATTCTGTTCTTGCGCTCCAGCATTCTGACAATTGTGCTATAATAATAGGATGAAGCTCGTTCTTTTTTTTACCATATGTGTCACTGTCGAAACATCCTCGTGTGGCGTCTGGTTCCATCAGCATGTATGCAGAATGTTATGCTTGTGTACCAGTGTAGCTTGTAAACTTGCGTGCATTCTCGTTACTTGACTATACCACGTGTGCTGTATTTCACTTCGGCTTGTTTTGCACTGTATGTTTTGGCGCTTTCACCGCCTGAGATGGGAAAATGAATACGCCCATTCAAAATCAAAATTTTCAATGAGACTCTTTGTTTTTCCGTCGTCTCTGTTTTTCCGTTGTTTCTCAGATATATGTGCGCAAAGCTTCACGGAAAAGGGGATCCTTTTAGTATATGGAAGCTACTGTACCCACAAACGAATCGCCAAATCTAAACTTAAAGCATCAAGTATGTTACTTTCCAGTTGTGATTTTTCTTTTTTTGGCAGAACAGCCCTCCTCTCAGTGACGACAAAGTACAGACAGTATAAAAATGACAACGGGCGGCGTCGCTGGGGCTGCTGTCCGGGCTGAAGCCGCTTATATCGCTTTGCTGGGAGTCACTGCAGACATACTGTATGGGGGCTGAAAATGGGACGCAAAGCTGCCGCTGCGATTTTAATTCGGCTCTTGCTCTGCCCTGGTTATTTTGATCTCCTTGCGGGCCTGGAGCTCACCCTGCTGCACACCAACGATGTTCACGCACGAATAGAGGAGACTAATACGGACTCCGCCAGATGCACCAAAGGGAACTGTTACGCCGGGGTGGCCAGGAGGTTTACTAAAATAAAAGAGATAAGGAGTCAGGAGAAGAACGTGCTGCTCCTGGATGCAGGAGATCAGTTTCAGGGCACCATGTGGTTCAACTACTACAAGGGTGCCGAAGCTGCACATTTCCTGAACAGACTTGGATATAACGCCATGGTAAGAACATCTCCGTTATAAAATAACGCATTTTTGTTCTCCTCGTTCATGATAATAATGATTCTTTTAATATTACCACTACTAGTAGTTATTATGTAATGTAATGTTTCTATGTTACCTTTTCCGGACTAATGCGTTTGCTTATTCGATGGAGATTCCGCTATAGTTAGTCATATGCTGCGTACTTTCAAAATGATACGTCCCTAACATCCAAGGCAGTGTTTGCGTTTATTTTTTCGAGTTGCCCCCCCTAAAGTGTTCTTTAGCCCCCAAATAAATGTACACTGATTAGTTTTAAATAATGTGTTCTCATTCATTTTCATTAAAATCAGACCCGTCTATTAAAGATGTTCATAAATCCGAAGTGACATTACTGCATGAAATATACTTACAGGATATTTCCCAGATCAAAATGTAATGTGACATAGGCAGATGAAAGTGTTTTTCTGTACTTTATGGCTTTATCTATAACGTCCTCTAGTAATCTTCTGAATTAAGTGTAAACGTTTAAAGGAAGCCGGGCACTTCGGGGAAAGAGCTGTGCCCCCCCCGGCAGAACATATTTGTGACAATGTCTCGATTGTAAAAATTAGTAGCCTATCTGTTTTTAAATAATTCATATTCATTGTAGGTATTTAATATAGGGGGGATGTCGATTCATTCACAAATCGCGTTTCTTCGCCTTGGCGATTTTATTTCTTTTTATTGCCACGACAGTTAAGATCGATGGATGTAATCGGCATCAGTGCCGATATCTGGGCATGTCGCTCCCATTTGTCACCATGATCTATATGCGAGTCTGACGCCGCGCCGTCAGTTTGGCCGGATTGAAGTAAAGGCGCGCGCGGCATGTTCGTGTTACTGGTTTCGGTCGCGTGGGTTTCGCGCGACACCAGCCCGGGCCAGACGACCACTAGCGCGTGAGGTCACGGGCAAAAGGGAGCTGCACGCGACGAGCGGATGAGGTATGAGTTTGAGGAAGTGCTATTAATATTTTGTAGAGCATCCAGCTATATTTTATACAAGAACAGACATTTTTCAGTTCACATTTTCTAGTTGTCCTTTAATATGTAATTTTTATACGTTTTACAGTAGCGTACTTGCTGTACAGGTGGTTCTGTTGGCACATTTTTAATTCTGATCCCTTAATTGCTAACATGATGGAACTGCTGTAGGTTCCCGAGTACACGTCTATTTGTTGAGTAGGCCTAGAGCTCCATAAAGACCAACTAATGTAAGAATATACTGCATTTAGTTTAAAATGTAGTTCTAAAATGCTCTGAAGGAACCATGTTAAAACCAACAAACATTTTTATGCAAGATTAACTTTTCTTCAGAAAAAAGTAAAAAATTGCAATTTCCCACTTTCAAAATTGCCATATATAGCTATTGAATCGGCAAACAAACATTGAATATTGAATAACTCGATGTTTTTGGACTCAGTGTCTCCGAGTGTCCATCTGTATGTTTTTATGGGCGGTTTTACACTGCGAAGTGAGGCGGCATAACAGCGGTACGAGCTCTAATGCATGAGCACCGGAGGGGGAAACGCGCATGTGCTAAACCAGGGGTAGCCAATCTTATCCGCAAAGGGCCGGTGTGTATGCAGGTTTTTGGGATAAAAAAAAGTTGTACAAACCCAGGTGTGAGGACTCTTCAGCCAATCAGTCCTCTAATGAGTAATCTAATTAGGGAGTTGCAGCGAAAACCCGCACACACACAGCGGCCCTTTGCGGATAAGATTGGCTACCCCTGCGCTAAACCATCCTGGTGTCTATTCATGCTTATTAAATTACCATCAATACGGAGATCTTTCTAAACATCTTTGTCATTGGAGCTGCTCAATACACTCATTATTAAAGCCATAAAGTCGTATGCCTGCTACCTTAGAATCTCCATTAAATGTATTTTTGAAAATATTTAGGTTAAAATCTGGTCTTATTCTATATCGATTGATGGTGCCAGTGTGTGTTCGTGCCGGTTTGACTTGGGACCGGTGTCGTTGTCGTAAACTAAAACTGAAATGAAAACGGATACTACATGAAAGAAAATAATTCGTGAACTGAAATAAAAACGAAAACCATATTTACTTGAATCTGCAAAAAGTACCGCCACGTCACCAACATTTTGTTTACCTTGTTCAATCACAGTATCTCTTTGCATGTTGTGTCTGCTGAGCTGCTTCTTCCTTCTTCGCGACTTCAGTGCTTATCGCTTGTGTCGCAGGTGACGTGCTCTGCGAACTTAAAAAAAAAAGCGGATACGGCAATTTTACACAGATTACTAACTTTGGGGAATCACAATACGCATATACTGCCGAAAAGCCCGCGTACATTATCTACAGCCCTGCAGTGGCATACAGTTTTCTGTCAAAATAAAACTTGGTCAAGTTGATCTTCTGGAGAAGAATTAATCGTTTAGATTAATCCGCCAATCGATAGATTAATCTACAGAAAAAAAGTCGTTAGTTGCAGCCCTACGCTAACACCTGCTACTCCTGGGACTTGCTGAGGGTTTGCAAGCTTGCAGTTACAAAACCCTTGAATTTACAATTTCAGTTAGTGGTGGCTTCTCTGGAGAAGGCTGCCATGATTCACACTGAGTTAGTCACATTTTCCCAAGGGGTCTTTAAAAAGCACTCATCTGCATTAATGGTTTGTGAATAACACACAAAGGCTGAAGTTTGTAAAAAAAAAATATAATCATTTTAAATCAGGTTTTAGTCAATCAAGTCTTTTGTCATGGCTTGATTGAATTGTGAAATATAATTGGCCCTTCCAAAATTTATGAGGTAGGATTTGGTAAAGTCACACTTTGTAATCAAATAAACTATGTCTGAATTTTTAAAAACAATTTGCTTTAATTCCAGGCCCTGGGGAACCATGAGTTTGACAATGGAGTTGAGGGACTAATTGCACCATTTCTACAGAACGTGAACTGTACTATCCTCAGTGCAAATATCAAGCCAGATGCGAGTCTGGCTTCAGGCATAAGTGGCTACTACTCTGCTTATAAAATATTTGTCATGGAGTCAGAGAAGGTGGCTGTTGTGGGTTACACAACTAAGGAGACGCCAGCTTTATCTCAACCCGGTAACTGTACCGAGAAGCTTTATTTCTGCTTTTCCTTCTCTTTAACACTGGCTGCATGACAGATGCTAGAAATCATAAATTTGGCTCATGATTTTTATTTTGGTATGTTACATTTCGGGGGCTTTTATATTAGAGGAATGCAAAATATATAGCATATGCATGGAAGAACTGACTGCCAGTAAGTGACCTGAGACTCTGAATGTGACAAGCGGATTGTTTCTCTGCTTCTGTTTCTGGTTTTAAGCATGTGAAGTTGTGTTTTATGAAGTCACCACAGTGTTAGTTTTTCGGGTGGGGGATGTTGGCACAAAATCTGTCTCCAGAAAATATGTACGCATACACAGACAACAGATTATTGATTTAATATTGCCAGTCACAAGGGTATATCAAAAGCATAAATTTGTGGTGTACACAGGCATACTTGTACTTATATGCGCGTATTATTTTCTTATCTCCTGCCCGGACAGGCCCCCACTTAAAATTCGAGGATGAGGTTACAGCCCTCCAGATTCAGGTGGACAAACTCAGGACAATGGGCATTAACAAAATCATTGCACTGGGACACTCTGGCTTCATGGTGGACAAAGAAATAGCTAAGAAAGTGCGGGGTGTCGATGTGGTTATTGGAGGACACACAAACACCTTCCTCTACACAGGTATGTGACATCTGCCGATCCCTCGGAAATATCCACGCCGATGACTGCTTTTTAAATGCTGTCATACTCCTGTGTGTCTTTGTCTTGCGTAATATGTCGTTCATCTTTGAGACACATTTTTTCTTATTGTATCATGAAAATCCCAGATCCGTGATAAAACCATTACTGTGTATCTGAGGATTAGCGCGGCGTGACCGTGTAAACATGGCGTGTTTGCCGCCAGCCGTGGTCTTTCCAGCGTCTGCTCCAGGGATTTTTGCGTGCTGCGGTGTCTGGAGTTTACGGCCGGCAGCAGTCGCGTTTCTGAAAATGTCTTTTTAACTGAAGCGAATAGCTAGAGCCAGAGAAGCTGCAGTCATGATGATGCACAAGGTCAGACACAGGCAGCTACATCCCCTTCTTGGCAAACTGAGTCAACATTTTACTGTAATCCAATGGTACATTTTACTTGCAGTTCTTATTGACTTATCTGGCGTTTATGAAGGCACTTGTTTCTTATTGAAGGAACGCCCCCATCCAGAGAAGTCCCAGAGGGCACGTACCCGTTCCTGGTGAGGTCGCACGACGGTCGCGACGTCCCTGTCGTACAGGCCTATGCCTTTGGAAAGTACCTGGGATACCTCAAGGTGACCTTCGACAAGAACGGCGACGTAACCGGGGCTACGGGGAACCCAATACTGCTCAACAGCAGCATCCCGCAGGGTACCTAAAGACTCTCAATAGATTTTTTGTGCTTGTTTTTTTTTCATGAACTTTTCCATAAGTTCTCTGTAATATGCACCTGAAACAGCTAGGCATGCCATTGTCCGATGCGAATACTATTGCTTTTGGAAAAGCATTTGTTTTGAATGACAATAGTGGTTACTCAGACGGTTGACGGATATATGAAGTTTCCTTTAGGCTATTTCACTTGTTTTTGATAGCAAAAAGCCATTGTTTTTACGGGAGGCTCATATTTGAGTGCGATCTCATTCTTACAGGCATTGCCGTACGAGGTCAGGATGAAGGCACCACTGAGTAATTAAAGATGCTTATCCTGTCTGTCTGATTGATCTTTTACCTTTAGATCCTGGCATCCGTGCAGAAGTGGAGGACTGGAAGAGGAAGCTTTCTAATTTTTCCGCAGAATTTATTGGGACAACCCTAGTATATCTCAACGGAACCTTTGAAGAATGCCGATTCCGGGAGTGCAATCTGGGAAACTTAATTTGTGATGCCATGGTAAGTGCGTGGGCTTTGGATGTGTCTGCAGTCTTTGAATCGCTTTTAGGCAACATTAATAGCATTAGTAAATGGCACAGAATGGCATACAGTAAATGGGAGTGATTTCAGAGTAATGTTCAGAGTATATTAGAGCGTGTTGATCTCCAGGGCACGGCAGAGAAAGTCTCCGCCTAGACACCCTTAGACGTTGGATGTCAATGTTTAATCCTCTATTCAAAGCAACATAAACTATGTGTGACTAATGTCTTTCTTAGTGTAGGGTGTCACCCCCTTGTCTGGATGCCATTTTTAATTTTTAGCGTTTTTCATACAGAATTAAATACGAATAACCTGAAGCAGTAAACAGGAAAAGCAGTCTTCTGTCTTTTTTTTTTTTTTGTGTTGATCTTTTTTATATGTTGAAAATGGTGCCTGCTCTGTTACTCGAAGGTTCATCACAACATTAAGTATGCAGATGAGGTCCAGTGGAACCACATCGGCTCCTGCATCCTAAACGGTGGCAGCATCCGGGCCTCGATCGACGAGCGCAGTCGAAACGGTGAGTCACCATTTGGGGGCAGCGCCGGCAGCCCAGTGCAAATAGTGGATTTTAATGGCTGACTTGTTCTGCTCATCAGGCTCCATCACCATGGAGGACCTCATATCGGTGATGCCCTTCGGAGGCACGTTTGACATGGTCCAGGTAAAAGGGTCAACGCTGATGACTGCCTTCGAGCATGCTGTCCACCGCTACGGAGGAAACACGGGCGAGTTCCTCCAGGTCTCGGGTACGAACGTGGCTGTTTATATGCGCCTGAAGGGCGTTAATGCAAAATGACGTGTCAGACAATCATGCAAAATCACGCAAAATCACGCAACCTCTCCTTCCTCGTGCCTGACAGGGATTCAGGTGGAGTACGACATGTCGAGACCTCCAGGCAGTCGTGTGACGTCGACTCGGCTCCTCTGTACCCAGTGCCGAGTGCCCCAGTACGAGCCTCTTGACCCGAAGCGGGTCTACAAGCTGCTTATGCCATCCTACATGGTGGATGGAGGGGACGGCTACTCTATGATTAAGAATGAGAAACTTAAACATGACAGTGGTAAGTTCCTGAAAAGCCAACGGAGCCAGTGGTGAGTGACCACACACCATTCACTCACACACCATACACTCACACACCAATCATTCACACACCATTCTCACACGTTAATCACTCACACACCTCTCACTCACACGCCATACACTCACACACCATTCTCACACGTCAATCACTCACACACCTCTCACTCACACACCATACACTCACACACCAATCATTCACACACCATTCTCACACGTTACTCACTCACACACCTCTCACTCACACGCCATGCACTCACACACCTCTCACTCACACACCATTCTCACACACACCATTCACTCACTTATGCACAATTTGGTAACTCCAGTCAGCATCCGCATGTTTTTGGGCTGTGGGAGGAATCCAGAGTACCTGGATTTTTTCCAGAGGAACGGATGAATGTAAATATTTATAGACCAGCACACTTTGAGTGATGAAGTAGGTGGAGGTGGTTTGTCGTGCTACTCCACAGATGCTGTTATTTTGCTTCAACTGTGTAGTGAACCCACAAGACGTGACATCACAGTATCGGTCTGGGCTGGGTGGAGGGGGAGGGGACAGTGAATCAGCCTGGCAAGACACACTATCAACATCGCAAAATAAAACATAGGCAAGAACAGCACTTGGAGAAATTAAATTCGAATAAATAGTATCCTTGAAAATCAGTAGTGCACCTTTAGTAAGTTCCAGGTTTACAACATCATGTTTACAACAAGAGGCTTGGGTGGACAGCTTTCTTGGAGAAAGATGGATTGAAAACATTCATGAGTATTATCATGGTTCGCACAGTCATGCAGTTTAATTTGTTTTGGTACTCTGCTTTGCCTAAGTGTTAGGTAGGGTTCAGCTCCAGTCCTGGATGAACAGCAGTAAACCCTTAATTACTTTTCTGAAGTACCGATTAAGGGCAATTAAGGCAGGAAGGAAACCAGCACTTACCTCAGCTTTTTTTTGTGAATGGAAAGAAATGTAGACGTACAAACATTGTGAGCTCAAGAACAGTAAAAGAGGAACCTGAGAGGTATGCTTTTCTTTCAGGGGATCTAGACATCTCTGTGGTCTCCAGGTATATCCAGGAAAGGAAGAAGGTTCATCCAGCTGTGGAAGGCCGCATAAAGATCTCCAACTGGCCCAGGGCGGGGGCGGCTGCGAGGGACCTACCACTGCTCACTCTGGCCTTGGCTTTGGCCACTAGCCTGTGTAGTGTCCCGTCCATCGCCTGACCACGGTGTCTGCACTGCTGAAGATCACAGCCAAGAGGCAGTCGGAGCATGTGACCTCAGATTCGGCCCACATGTGGCCTAGACTAGTACCTACAAACGCTAGAACCTGATGAAGACCTTTTCATATTAGGAAATAGAGCTGTTCTCGGGTTCTTTAGTGCTGTCAGAGTTTAGAACAATGAATGGATACAAAAAGTGACCTCCTGTCTCAATGCAAATTCCATGGAGGCTACTGCTCTGATGTCAGTCACACGAAGTCCCCTCTGGCCCAGAGCTCACTGTTGCCTTCCTGTGTTTTTATACTTAAATTTGAAAGATGTTTGAAATGGCGATTAGAGCCAAGAGGACCAAATAGGACCTGGATGAATTAATCTTTTAGAAGAAAACTTGACAAAGAAGATGTGGAGTCGACTGCCCTGTGAGGATAGACAGATGTACCACACATTAATGCTGAAATTCACCAGCAGTGTCCCTAAGAAATAAACAAGACATTTGTTGGTCCCCATAACATAAAATGTACCAAGTACATCCATATAGCAAATAGTCATTCATAATGGTAGGTTATCGATTCAAATCAGTTCCTCACAAGAGTTAAATTGAATTTTAACTAAATAATTTTAATGCATCACCAGTGCTTCAAGTTTTCCATCCATCCATCACCATAACCACTTAATCCCAACTGGGGTCACCAGAGCCTATTTCAGGAACAGGCAGAAACCGACCATGGGCAGCCGCCAGCACACCTCGGGGCACACTCACGCACACACACACTCACGCACACACACACACTCACGCACACACACACTCACGCACACACACACTCACGCACACACACATT